AGCTTACATCAAGCCTTGCTGAAAAAAAACCTTTATATGAGTCAAAACATCCTGCTGTGCTCAGCTACCATGTTTAGAGGTGGTTTATTCTAGAGGGGGCAGAAAGGTTGGTGACTACAGGTTTGGAAAATCTTTTCAAAATGGAATTCACTCTTTAAGTCTTCAGAGAGATGTTGCATCACCCATCACCTCTTCAACTTCTACGTGGACAAAGTTTTCAAGCACTGCAAGACTGAGGATTCCTACGTCAACCGAAAAATCAGCAGCATAGCCAACTCCTTCCTCAGTGTGAGGAGGAATCTTGGGCAGTGTGTAAGTTTTGGGCATTGCTACAGTTTAGCCTCATCTGTTAGGATGTGGCATATAAACAAACCTAAGAGCTTTATGGGGTTACAAAGCCTTTGTTTAGACAAGTGGTTTTAGCAGTGGTGCAGAGCAGTGTGAGGTGAAGAGTGTCTGCTGAGAAGTTTTTGGACTTGCCCACTCACCAGCAAACTCCCACACTGGTCCTCAGCAACAATATTTATCCTGTCCCTGTGTCTGTCAAGTAAACTCTTCTTAGCTGAAGTCAGATTTAAGGCCCTGCAGCCTTTCCCACAGCTCCACAAGGTCTCAGCCTATGATTTCCAGCATAGTTACAAACTGATCTCTTATTTTTAATTCCCTGAATTAATGAATTTATCTCATTTTTCTAGCATGAGCAAAATAAGTGCACGTGTGGGCAGGAATCCACGGAGAAACTGAAGCAAATACTGGCCAACTACGAAGGGGTGAGTTGATGGCTGAGTCTGGTGACCAAAGCAAATCTTTAGATGCTCTTTACTTTGGGTTGTACTCGCTGCCTTTGCTTGCAACTTGTCCCTTTATCTCCTTCCAGCTGAATGTCACATCTGCAGCAATGAAATCCCTGGGTGAGCTGGACATCCTGCTAGACTGGATGGAGAAATCTCATTAGAGAGCAGAGTGTTAATGACCTGCTGATGGAGCTGCTGGGACATTGCACACCCCAGTGAGGAGAAGGACAGTAATGTATCAGTGCAGATCCTCATGGATCTCCAGGGAGTGCTCTGCTCACCAGGTACATCAGTGGAGGCATCAGCAGAGCCTTCACTAAGATGGAAATACTGAGTTTGATCCAACCAACATTTTTTTGCACTGGCTTAGCTGATTTCCATCAAAGGATGCTCCAAGGGCAGAGCTAAAAGGACTTCTCTTGCCAACAGATATAAGCTGTGATCATGTAATCAAATGATTGTTTAAATTATAAGTTTTATATGTATGTTCATGAGTGCTGAGTGTGGTTGGAAGGACTCTGGTGTAGCTGACATTGCATAAACCATGGGCTCTATCTCCCAGTGTTCCTGCCATGGGTGGATCTGGCAGGAATGAGGGGCACAGTGTGAGAAATTCTTCCAAGAATAGGTCCTAGCAGGTGTGTGAGGCCTTCGAAATCTCTTTCCTTTCGAGATGATATTTTCTGCCTTATCAGTAAAAAGGTTTCTGTGCAAGATGTGTGGTTGCTTAATAGAAACAGGTTCTTGTGTGTGTTGTGCAATTTACTGACACTTGGTAGTAAGTTTTGTGGAAATCGGTTGCAATTACTGTAAAGTGAACCCCACTTGAAACCGTGCTGAGTCTGTTTGTCAAAATTCGGAGGAATTATGTGCTTCTTGCTGGCAAAACTTGATGAATTCTCTGCAGTGTCCAAGATGTGTGGTTGCTTAATAGAAACAGGTTCTTGTGTGTGTTGTGCAATTTACTGACACTTGGTAGTAAGTTTTGTGGAAATCGGTTGCAATTACTGTAAAGTGAACCCCACTTGAAACCGTGCTGAGTCTGTTTGTCAAAATTCGGAGGAATTATGTGCTTCTTGCTGGCAAAACTTGATGAATTCTCTGCAGTGTCCCAGCAGATAAAGGTGAAACTTGATGAATTCTCTGCAGTGTCCTCTCACAGCAGATACTGTCACTCCAGCATCCCGGGGGGATCACCCACTGCATGCTCTAAATCCCTTCCCATGAGGTCTTAGCACATCCATCGCTGTAGTAGCTGACAATGCCAGAGGGCAAATGTGTTAGAAACAAACCAAGACCACCCAAGACACCTCTCCATGTAGCCAAAATATGTTGTGCACTTCTCCTGCCAGAGCTTACTAGCCCAAGCCAGAGCAGTTGGATGTTTATGTCCCTGGTTGCATCCTAGTCCTAATATTTCAAGTCACAAGTCTTCCTGCTGCATTTATCAGCCATAAGTCTAGAGGGTGAATCTCTGACTTGCTGTGTTTTGCTCTAGGAGCCAACTAAGCTGAGCAAGGTGTACCAGACCTCCTGCTTGCTGTGGTGGCATGGGCACAACCAGGTGCTGTGTGCTCTCCCTGGGGCCTGAGAGCTCTCACTGCTGTTCAAGTTGACTCATTGTTTCTGGTGTGAATCCTTCAGGCTTGCACAAATATCTTCCCAGCACCTCTATTCCCATGGGACAGCCCAAGACTGTCTAGCTCTCCCTTTCCAGCCTGTGGGCATGGCCAAGCTTCATCAGACAGGATGGATGGAGAGCTGACTGTTCCCAGCTTGGACAACTTCTAATGGTGCTACAGAGGTGACACTGGGAAGGTTTTAGCTGCAGAAGAGGTTCTAACAGGATCTTGTTGCCATAAAATAGGGTCCTTGTTGTCTTCAAGGAGAACCCAGTTCCTGCTTTGGTTTTGTCACCATCCCAGGAGGACCCTGGTCAGATCTCTGGCAGCAAACCAGCATTCCCAGTGCCTTGGGTCAGTCCAGTGGGCACCACTGCACCTTCCACCATCCTGGTGGTGACCTAGCACCAGCATTTCCTGTAGCACATGAGTGTGTCACACTGGGTGGGATTTGGTGATTCGTTTTCAAAGGAAAGTTCTCCCTGACTGCTCACTGCCCTTCCTCAAATATTTGCTTATGCCAAGGGAAAGTCTTGCAGAGCTTTGATTCTCTTAACTTGCTTTCTCATGGTTTTTTTTTTTTTTTTTTTTTTTTTTTTGCAGTGTGATTTTCATTTGTCCAGGTGTCAGGGCCGTGGGAGGGTGAATACATTCCCTCCATGCTCTGGCAGTGCTCATGAAAGCTGATCTTTCAACACCTTTACCCTTGAAGCCAACCATTTAGGAGTCACAGGTATCTGGCACATACCATGGTTTTCTGATAAAGAAGAACTATTGGGAATGATGCTGTGAGATACCACAGCTCATCACAGCACTTTAGGTGATCAGGTTGGTGAAGGAGATGGGGTTGCTTGGTCAGGTCCCTGTGGACCTTCCCAAGGATTGTGGTGGGCTCTGGATCACAGCCTGAGTGGGATGTGTGGCTTTTATTCCACACCCTTTGCTCACATTGTCACAATTATTACTATAGATCCTATACATTGTTCATAGCCCTTGCAGAGTGCTCCGTGTCTCGATCCATGCCTGGTTTTCTGCCTTCACCTAAACCAGTAATTTTACACTTTCCCACCCACTACAAAGCATAGCATTCCCCTTTGGAAATGAAATGCCAGGTGGAAGAATCAGTGGTGGGAAGGAGCAGGAGCCACAGGCAGGCAGAGCCAGTGGGCAGGATGCTCAGCCCACCCACTTTTCTCAGCCTCTACTCCTCTCCCAGGAGTTTAGCTCATCCTGGCTGCTCCCAGCTGAGAAAAAGATGCCTTCGGGCAGGCTGAAGAGGAAATGGATTTGCAAAGGGAGAGCAAAAGGGATTTTTCTCCTCTCTGAAATTTCCAAACCTTAGCATTCTCCTGCCGCTTTATGAGGGCTCAGCCCAGGGACACTTTCCAGGCGTGCACACCCCTCCTATTGCACCAGAGTCAGGACTCACTTCCAGCAACTCCAGGCAGGCACAAGCCTGTCCTGGCCCCTCCACACCTTTTCTGATAGCCAAACCCCTTCCCACCGTGCTGTGAGGGGATGCAGCCCAGGAGATGAGGCAGGTGAGTTATTCCCTGACCTTTGAGGTCCCAGTGCTGCTATCAGTTAGGTGATGACTATTGCAATGTGGATGTGAAAACTGAGAAGTAGGAGAGGAGCTGCTGCCTTGCTCCTCTCAGCATTTACTGTGGGGAAGTCCATGATTCAGGAATAATTTATGTTTTATCCTTGGCAAAACTCAGTGTCTGTCAGCTAACCCAAACAGCCACTGCTCAGCACCTCACTGAGATGTGATACTCTTTGCATTTTTCAGCGTGGCTAATACTTTTCCTAAACCAGCAATATCCATATGGATACTGCAACACCCTCAGGTCAGATCCTACCCAGGGTGATGCTTCTCATTCTTTGTATTTTATGGCTTGATCTCAGAGCTGAGTTTCTGCCCTGACCCTTCTCTTTGCCAGGTAGGTAACAGCCTACCCCACTCCTGGTGTCCAAGGAAAATTCCTTCTCCACTTTGTCACTCCTTTGCTGTTTCCTACATTGCTTTGCCAGTGGAATATTCAGCTTTGCCCATCCTTGCTGTGCCTGTGTGTGCTGTCCCTGTGCCCTCCCACAGACTGAGTGCCCTGGTCTGCTGAAAGCCACTGGTTTTCTTTATTGCTTGTGCACAGAAACACTTCAGACCATGTCTGGCCTGCAGGTACTGCCCTCGGGTCGAGAAAGCTTAAAGGAATCCAAAGCATCAGATGCTGTTCTAAAGAGTTTCCAGCTGCCTTTAAAAGAAAATGGGAATTCTTTTAACATGCCTTCTGGCCTTTGAGAGCCCACTGTGTCAGGAGGGCACTGGTGGGACTGGGGCTGTTGGTGGGATGAGCCACTCAAAGTTCTGTTGTTTCCCAGTCCGACCTGCTTGCTCAGACCTGCACTTCCAGCCCAGCCCCAGTTGGCATCAAAGGATTCCTCCTAAATCACTGCTCAAAGCTCAAGTTAAGAAAAAAAAAAAGGTCAAGCTATAGCAAATTGTGATAGCAATGGACAGTGCTGCTTGCTGATGATTTCTTGTGGTCCTCAGGGTAGAGCCAGTCCCAGTTGCTGTCGCCTCTCAGTCTCTCACCTGGTCCTCCAAGGCTGAGGGGGACATGTCCTGGGCAGCACTGTCCCCCCCCGAGCTGGCCTGGGCAATGGTGCCAGAGGTGAGGAGAAAAGTGGAGTAGGCCAGGTCAGCATCCTCCTTCGAGCTCTGGGGAAGGATGGGAGGACACAGTTAGGTGGCCAGGCATGGACAGCAGCATGTGGCAGGGGAGAGGGCAGTGTGTCATGGGCTGTGTCTTGGGATGACATCAGCTGGATGAATGGGACAATCCAGCAGGTCATGCCAGTGCCAATGTGAGCATCACTCAGCCTTGGGAGACTGAGATGTTTGTGGGTTTGGGACTCCATGGCAAACCTGTCCCTGTTGGCATCCAACTCTCCTGTCCTAAGGCTGCCAGGTTTTACAGGTTTCCTGACACTTTCCTTTATTGCTCCAGTTCAGCTTTTGGCACAACACCTACATCTCACGCCTTGTTAGGGACTTTGAAACAGAAGGACTTGTACCTTGCACCTTCAGCTACTGCTGAGTGCTGCTGCTTGACCATCCTCTTACCCAAGGGGAGGGGAAGCAGGGGAAGGCAGAGGAAGTTAGGGAAAGGCAGAGAACACAAGAGCAAGCCACAGTCCTTGCAGTGGCAGAGACTTCTTGCCTATTTCTGCCCCCTGAAGTTCTCCCCATCTGGGGGAGATCTGGGAGCTGGGTCATGTCTCCCAGGTCAGTTGGGCTCTCTCCTGCCTCCTCTTACCCTTTTCGCCTTCTTTGCCTCGGCAGTGTTTTCTGAGGTCTCTGTAGTGGTCTCTGTAGTGGTGATGAACTCTGTCAGGAGGGAAAGGGAAGTGTTAGGGAAGGGGCAGCAGTGGGCAGATATTTCTGGTGGATTTTGTAGTGTCCCTCACGTTGGGATTGGGGTCAGCAACCTACCATCCCTTCCGATGGGAGTCTCCTGGCTCACCTTCACGCAGGCATTATTGCTGGCACCATAATCCTTCACACTTTCAAAGTCTGACATGCTGATGTTCGTCCTGTAGCTCCCAATGGACACCAGGTCTGTTAAGAAGGAGGAGGAAAATACCTGATGAGCTCACTCAGAGTCACATCAACATCCAAACCCTCTGTGCAAGGTGTGATGCAACGTGCAAAGCCTGCAGAGCTACTCTGTCTCAGCCTGGATACCCTGTGTGTTGGGTTTTGGAGCCCTGTGGATGGGATCAGTGGGAGAAACAAAGTCCCTTCCCTGCCCATCACATGGTTGGGTACCAGGAGAGCAGCTCAGCCCTGCAAAGACTGTGGCATGCACAAGGTATTGCCTTCATCCTAATATTGCTGATGTTTCCTGAGAGCAGAAAGGCAAGGACTCACCAGATCTCTTCATCTGCCTGTATTTAACAATGGCAAATGCTGTCACAATGATCAGGAGGAGGCCAGCAAGAGGGCCCAGCACCAAAGCAAGAGTGTTGGAGCTATGGCTTTGTTCAGAGCTGGAATAGAGGGAAATGATGGATATGAATGTCCAGCAATCTAAATCTGTCTAGGATGGTAAAGTTGAGTGAGCATGAGGGTACTCAAATGATGAACTGGAACCTAGCAGATATAATAGCATAAAAACCAAATAAAAATATAGGCTAGAAGTTGTACCAAAATAACTACATCAGCAGTTTGGTTATAAATGTGTGGAGGAAAGTTCCCAATCTCAACAGAACTACTTTCAAGTAGTAGTTTTGTACCTGGAATCTCATCATTCCCTTCTGGTACTATTTTCTTCAACTATAGATTAATTTCAAGTAACTTTTCCACTTCTTTTCCTCTGATGTTTCAAGCTCTTGGAGGACAAGAACTTTTTTTGTTGCTAAACCACACACATAATGTACAAACCCAGTACCCACAATGGGTTAATATAAACCTCACAAAAATAATCCATGGCAGAGGATGGAGAGAACCAACCTTTCTGGGGCAGCTCCACTTCTGACTCCAGCATCACTGTAGGCTCCTCCTTCAGGAACAGGGACAGGCTCGACATGGTTGGGGATCTCAGCTTGGCTGGGGATCTTGGCATGGTTGGGGACGTCGGCATGTTTGGGGAGCTCAGGTTGTTTGGGGCCCTCAGGTTGTTTGGGGACCTGAGGTTGTTTGGGGCGCTCAGGTTCGTTGGGGAGCTCAGGTTGTTTGGGGAGCTCAGGTTGGCTGGGGAGCTCATCATGCTTGGGGGCCTCAACATCCAGGAGCTCTGGGCCATGTTTGGCATTGTTTCCTATGTATCCCAAGGAAAAAGAGTGGTTAGTCTTGTGAGCAGCAGCACGAAGATGAGGGAACACAGAAACTAATTGGATATGTTTGGTGGATGTGGAATTGCATTGGGTTTTGCCTCTGAGAAGCTCTTTACAACAGGGGTTTGAGATTATTTGAAATAATCTCATAACAAATAGTTCATTGCAAAAATCTCATGTAAGTTCTCTCTGCCTAGAAACTTTTGCAAAAGTCATGCCCTTCTAAATTCTGTCTCTAATATTTCCAGAATAAATTTTGAGTGCTTGCTTTGCTTTTATTTCTAGCTCTTTGCCCACCAAAGGCAATAAAATGAAGCTGTTTCTCTCTGGTTTTACTTTGACCATCATCCACTTAGGATGGCTAGACATGGGGATATCCAGTGCTCTACTTTTTCTTCCTCTTCTAACAATATTCCTCCCCCCAAAACCATCTTAATTCCAAAATACTTCACCACAGCTGAGACTAAGCCCCTTGCTGTTGGTGCTAGTCTTTCCTCTCCAGTTTCACACTGGTTTCCTGTCTATTAAGATAAGAAGCTCCTGGGAACAGGATGAGTCTGAGCTAGATCAACCTGAGAGCAGTTTGATGTCACTTAAACTAAACGATGCTACAAATTGCAATAGCAATAATTAGTAAGGACAAAGTTGGAAAGTAAAATTGGTGTGGCAAGAAGTGAGTTTTAGACTGATGTGTTTGTATGACTAGGAAGTTCAAAATTAATAAGTGGATGCAAACACTTCTGACAAGTACCAAGGCGACGTTGGCACCTCGCTGGGAACTTGCCAGGGTGACAGCACTTCTGTTTTCAGGTGCTGCGACCTAGTGGCTATGGAGAAGACTTCCCTCTGCAGAAGGCAGAGTGATCCACAGCCCAGACAAGCAGGAAAACCTCTTTGCCTTGGTGCTCACCTCCAGTCACCAACAGGTAAACTGCCATGGTTTCCCCAAAGATGTTGTTGCGCTTCACCCCACACCAGTACCAGCCTTCATCTGCCTCTGTCACCGAGTCAATGCTGAGGACAACTGTCTTGTTGGCACTGTTACAGGTTGCATCCATCCCCAGCTGCTGTGGGTTGGATGCTGGGATGATGGGGCAGCCAGCAGAGGTCCACTTGCACCAGTACTTGTCGTAGGAGTAGTAGTTGCAGGGGTAAGAGCAAGTCAAATCGACTCGAGAACCCACTTGTGCCTCCACTTCCTTCTTTCCTGTCAGAAGAGGTTCTCCTGCAAGGGCAAATGGAACATCAAGGTGTTTGTTAGTGGTGGGAATGGTGGGCAGCAGGTAGTGGTGCTGCTAGAGGTGGCAAACCAGGAGATTGATCTCTGAGAATGGAATGGATTCCATGGAATGCTCCATGGCTAAGTTAGCACTAAGGATGCTGTTCATGCATCCCTAGCTGAAAGCTGAGGGGCATTTTTTGCAAGGCTTAACTAAATCCTTGCATGAGACATTTTTATCTGACTACTTGCCAATAAAGCTAAAACCTTGTGCTGCAGTTTTAAAGCTCCTGAGGTTGAGTTCAGACTTGGAGCTCACACCTCCTCCTGAATATGTTGGATTGCTCATTTATGGTGCTTGGGAGATTGTTCTGTACCTCCTTGAGCAGACAGAGAACTGCCAATGCACGAGCACATACCATCTATGATCTTCAGCTCAGATGATGTTTGCTGCTCCTTTGCATCATTTGTCATGCACCAGTAATACCCTTTGTCACTCTCCTTCAGCTGGTTCAGGATGACAGTGACTGTCTTGCTATCTGGGTTCTCAAACATAGCCACTCTTCCCTCATAGCCATACATCACATTCCCAGTGTTGTCTATGATCTTAGCACAGCCATTTTTCCTCCACTTGCACCAGATCCTCGTGGAGGATCTCTTCAGGGGGTCGTAGTGGCATTCAAAAGTGGCTGAAGTTCCTGCTTTAGCAGTTACTGTGGGATTTACTTGAGGGAGTTTTGTGTCTGTTGATAAAAAATGAAATGAGCAGTTAGAAATGTCTCGCTGGTGTGTTTCTTCCAAGCCAAAAAAAAAAAAAAAGATATTAGCAGATCAAACAAAGCTGTTCAGGCTAAGCAAAGCTCAGGGATGCAGCCAGCAGGAGACAGGCCTGGCACTGCTAGGAATTGATCCTGAAGGGTCAGTCAGGCCTTTCTTTTTCCCATGAGTGCAAATATCTCTGTGTACCAACATTTCAAAGCTTTACTCCCTTTGCTAGAGCAAGGGTAGGTCTTCTCCTTTCTACATCTGTCATTTTGAGACTTAAGGAATTAAGACTTGAAGAGACAGTTTGTTAGTCTCAGACTGGGACATGGAATTTGTCTCCAGGAGTTTTGGGTTAGGGAAGAGAGTTGGCCACTGCTGGGAAAGTGAAGTCTTGCTACCAGTTTTATTAGTACATCACAGCTAGTTAATTGGCTAGAAAAGTATCTAGATGAGAGACTAGGATAATAGCACTCTGCAAAAAGAAATTAGAGCTCTTGCTAAATAAAGTGAGACTGCTAGTGGTGCTTCCAAAGAGAAGCAGAAATTAAGAGGGGGGAAAAAACCCCATTGGGAATAATTTACCTTCATAGACAAACACATCCAGTTCCTTTGAGTGTCCTTCCTTCCCATATTCACCAACCCCACAGTGGTACACGCCTGAGTCTTCCCCATCCAGCTGAGTTACTGTGACACTGAAGGAACCTGCAGACCCTCCATAGCTCAGCAGAACTCGCCCTGTGAAATCCTCAGCAACGTTCTGATGAGTGTCGATGATGGTCCTGCACTCTTCCTTCTCCATCTTGCACAAGTATCTCCTCAAATCAGCAGATTCCTCCCCAAATTTGCAGGTTACACTCCAACTGCTGCTCTGCTTCATGTAGAAGAGTTCAGGTGCTTCGGGTAGAGATGAATCTGTGTATACAGAGACACAATCAGGGGTAGAAAACTGCTGGTTCCCAAAGCATGGAGCACTTTGAGCACTTAGATGCTGCTCAGGCTATTTGCAGAGCCTTATTTAAAAGGAGGAGGAGAAAAAAAGCAAAAGGAAATGATACTTTAAGGAGCACCAAGACTGTCATTACCTTGACTAACAGTCAGAATGACTTTGTGGGAGAGTCCTTTGCCATTGAGACCAACTCCACAGCGGTAGGTGCCAACATCCGTCAGGCCAAGCGCGGAGATGTCAATCTGGAAACTTTCTGCCTCTGGGTGGTCAGTTATGGAGATTCTGCCCTTGTATTCTGCAGCAATGTAGCCACTGGTGGAAGCAATAGTCACACAGCTTGAGCCTGACTGCTTGCACCAGTACTTTCTGTCGTGCCTGTTCACCGTGGTGGGAGGGTAGAAGCATTTCACCGTGGCTGACCCATCGACCGGAGCGTACACCTCCCGTGGTCCAAACACGGGGCTGGACACTGCAAGAGGAAATGTGTGGGCTGTAAATATCACCTGTGCCACACAGCTCAGGTGTCCCAGGGGGAGAGTAGACCCAGGGCTGAGCAGCATCAGGTGCCCCAAGAAATGCCATGGCAGTGATGGGCACTGAGGAGGTAAAGATGCTCTGAATTCTCCTCC